AGACAGGAGAAGGATATTGATAGGCCTTTTTCTTTTGAATGTTTAGAAGTTACTTGTAGCAGTACACTCGATTGTACACAATTGTTCAAATTCTATGTCTAGCACTCACCAATAGGAAATGCTTCATTTCAACCTGAACACTAGACTTAATCATTCTTTCATTTGTTAAGGATATGCAACATCAACAGATGACCGATAATTGGCATTATCAATGCACGTGTCATTATGTGGTTTGATTAAGCTTTGGATGTTTGTAAACAGCTGATACCCACTATTAGCCAATACATATGGATGATGTGGATTCTATAAAGCAAACAGTGAAATAAGCTTACCCTCCGGCTCTTCAGGTGGTAGAAATCAATGAGATCATCAGGCTGGGCATGAGAGATCTGCGCCTTGGCCTTCATCTCCTCAGTCTCTCGGAATTGTTTTTCAGCAAGCATCTTTGTAAAGCTCTGGCGGCATGACTGCAACCAGACCTTCCTCACATCATCACCAGTATTGCAAAGCAACCTCACACAGAGCACAATCCTATCATATGAGTCATTGTCAATAGGGTGGGGAAGGTACGAGGACTGCCCCAACTGCAGTATGGACACCATGATCAGCAAGGCCCCAGTAGAAGCCTTGTTTGCTTCAGCCTTTGATGGCTGGACCTCCTCCAGCCTCAGCACAAGCTTGGTGAGGGTACAGGCAACAACAGCAGCTAAAAAGAAATCACCAGACAGAATGAGAGATCTGAGATTCTGTGTGGAACTCAGTGACCCTGGAGCAACAGCTGGAGACGAAATGGCAGTCTCTGTGGCAGCACTCTGTGTGGCATAAGTACCATCTGCAAGAACAACAGGCCTCCTAGAAGATACTGTGACAGAGTTCACCACAGGCTGGGCTGGCTTTGACGCATCAGTTGATTCTCCTTCCTCAGAGACAGTGTAGAATGGCAGATCACCAAGGCACTGCTTGATGGTGGAAATGGCACTCTCAACCTCAGATAGTGAAAGGGAGTACTCCCCAAGGATCCAGAGAGCACATGAGCAGACACGGGATGCACGGATCTGATAAAATGTATCAATCAGCCTCTGAATCATTGACACACGGAGCTTGGGGTTGGTCTCAATGATCTCGCGCACAAACAAAACAACATCAACCGCTGCAGCAACATTAGTGTCACCAAGGAAGTCCATGAGGAGGTGGACCACCGATCCAGCCACCTCTGGGTACTCGACAGCGCAGGAATGGATCGCCTGCACCAGCATCTGCCGGTACTCACCACCCTTCTCGAGATCCCCGGCCTGTGTCTTAACAACCTCCTTCTTGAGGTACATCACCACCTCCTCCACATTTCGGGGGGTAAGCAGATCAAGCACCAAATCAAGCACCTTCCTCCTGACATCCACATTGGGGCTAGATAGCGCACGCAGCACATCCATGACCACATCCACCATGACATCACGGTGCGAGGCACGCAGCTCGTGCAGGCGGTCAAGGACAATAAGCTTCACATTGTTGTCGCTCTGCGACGACAGCAGCTGGCAGTAGGTGTTGGCAGCAGCACGCACGGCAGTGGGCGCCGACGACAGCGACACGAGCGCGCCGGCGGACTCGTACACGACGGCACTGTTGGGCGCGGAGAGGAGGGAGATGATAATCTTGATATACCTTCCCTTGTCAGCGCGGTTGGGCGAGCGGCAGACCTTGCGGATGAGATCGACGGCAGCCATCTGGAGGAGATCAGGCCACTCGGCGACGCGCTCGGCGTTGGTGAGCAGGTACGCGACGGCGCGCTCCTGCGCGCAGGCGCAGAGCATGAGGAACCCGTTCCGGCGCGCGGACGCGTCCTGCTCCCCGGTGAGCGCGCGCTCGACGACCTCGGGCGCGTCGGGGAGGAGCTGGTCGCCGTGCGGGAGGCGGTAGATGGCGGAGATCGCGGAGAGCGCGTGCCTGCGGATGAAGTGGTGGCGGTGGTCGAGGTTGGCGAGGATGGACGGGATGAGCGGCTCGAGCAGCTCGGGCTCGTTGAGGCGGCAGAGGAAGCGCAGCGTGACCCCGCGGATGTACTCGTTGGGGTGCTGGAGGTTGTTGCGGAGGTTCTGGCAGATGAGGATCATCTCCGGGAGTACCTTGCCGGAGGCGACGTCGCGCTTGTCGACGATCTCGAGGTAGAGGAGGAGGAGCTTCTGGATGGTGTGGTCCTCGGAGGGGAGGACGTAGCGGACGACGGTGATGAAGAGGTGGGGGAGGGTCTCGCCGTTGAGGAGCAGCATGATGGCGCGCTTCATGGCGTCGACCTTGGCGGCGACGTCGCTGCCCTCGAGGTCGGCCTTGATCTCGTTGGCCATGGAGGGGGAGCCCTTGTCGAAGTGGACCAGGAGGGTGCATGGCTTCTCCATGGCCGCCGACGCCGCCGCTGCACGGCCGCCGGTGGGGGGTGGATCTGGGGGAGTGGTCGGTGGATCTGGGCTCTGTGCGGGGATCGGATCTGGGGGGGAGAAGCCTCTCTATGCCTATGCGGCACGGGGAAGACGAAGACGAAGAAGAGAAAAAAAGAGTGGGCTGTTCGGTGCGGTGCGGGGGGGCACCCACCGGTAGACGCGCTCTCTCTCTTCTTGGGCCGAATGAAAAAGGCCGATATATTTTGGCCCATTAAAACAAACGGCCTTCTGCAGCCTGGTCTTTCGGACTATTACGCCATACGAACAACGGGCCGGATGCAATCGGGTAAGGGTAAGGTTGTCATTATCCAGAGGAATAAGTTCATCTAAGGTCCCTTAACTTGTTAACGAATCCAATTTTCATCCTTCAAAGAATCCAATTTTCGTCCTTCAAAACCAGATACAACGGGTCCCTCAACTGTCAAAACCAGTGCAGATGAGATCACTCGGTGGTTTGGACAGCGGTTTTGGCTGACGTGGCTAATTTGACTTTGGTCTTCATCTAATGTGGCATTGACATGTCGATTACGTGGTAATTTGATTCGAAAAAATAATAAACCTCATGGGACCCACATATTAGCTTCAAAAAAAATATATAAATGGTGGGGCCCACGTAAGCCCCATGTGTCATTCTCAACCCTCCTCTTCTTCCTCCTCTCTCCCCCCTCTCTTCAACAGTTCATCTCTCTCCCCTCTTCTCTCACTTCCTCCTATCTCTCTCTTTCTCACTTTTCTCCTTGTTTTCAAAAATGACAGGGCGAGGCAGGAAAGAACGGGCAGCGAGCCAGGCGTAGGCGGGCACCACGGCGGTGGGCGCGGAGGAGGGGGGTCCTAGTCGGCGCGTACGCGTCAGGGACGCACGTTTTTTTCCACACTTAAGGCAGTTAACTAATCTAGTTAGAGATAATGACGGTAGTAGTTAGGATTTTCTTTTTTTCGTGAGATTTTTTAACTAACAAATTGAAAATGAAATTTATATCTGTAGTCAAATTTTTCAAAATTTTAAACCCAAATTTGAAAACTTTCAACTCGAAAATTGAATTTTTTAAGTCAAAATTTGAAAACTTTCAACTTTTCATCTTAAATTTGAAAAACTTTCAACTTAGATTTAAAAACTTTCAACTCAGATTTTGAAAACTTTTAACCCAGATTTGAAAAATTTCAACTCAAGATTCGAAAACTTTCAAGTTCAAATTTGAAAACTTTTAACTTGAGATTTAAAAATTTTTAACTCGACATTAAAAACTTTCAACTCGAGATTTGAAAACTTTCAAGTCCAAATTTAACAATTTTTAAGTTCAAATTAAAAAATTACTAGTAAACTAATCACTAGTAAAAATAGGAAACTAATCACTACTAAAACTAATTACAATTTTTTCTCCTACCCATACGGCATCAAACTGCGAGAAAAAAAAAAAGAAAACGACGATAGGTTAGCGAAAAAAATTGCGCGCGCGCCCTACGTGGGCCATGTGGACCGGGAGTGCGCGCTGCCGGCGCGCGAACAAATTAGGATTCTGGCGGAGGAGGCGGAGCCGGGCGCCGCGGTAATGGACGCGAAGGTGGAGGCAAGCGCTGTGGCAACCGTCAACGAGCTTCTTGGCGGTGACAGATAGGCTAATAGGCATCGGAGGAGCGGGAGGACCTCTGGATCGAAGCCGAAGCCATGGAAGGCCGCACCGAGAACGACTCCGCCACCTACGCCGACTCTGGCAAGTGGCAAACTGGCAACCCCTGCCTCGACTTCTTCTTCCATGTCGCAGTCATCCATGGAGCTCGCGGTCAGAGCAGCCGCCGCGGCCTCCTGCTCCTCCGGCACCGCACCTCGCTCCATCTTCCACGAGCCCGCGCCTCGCTCCGCCTCCACCTCCGCGGTCTCCGCTTCCCTACTCGCCGGGTGGCTGCCGCGGCCGCGGCAATCGCCGTCGAGCCGATGAGTTTTATGCTCTAGCAGTAGTGTTGGCCCCTTTGCCTGACAAGTGTTCTGCGTTATGCGGATCTGGCAAATTTGGCAACCATTTTTTCTTGCATGCTGAGGCGCTTTCTTGCCTATGCTTAAAAAATACTTTGCATGTGTAAATGGTTAGCTGCTTATTTATTAGAAAGCGCTTAGAGAAATCACTCCCTCTCTTTCACTCACAGTTTTAGTGGCTAATATGAAGAACTCTGAATATTTCGGATGATAAACAGTTAACTGAATGCAGAATGCAGAGCAACAAACAGAGTGCCAAAAACAGAGTTTTTTTTTGGCTGCGAACTAATTGCAGCATTTTCTGTGTTCTTCTTCTTTTTATTTCTCTCCATCTAGGTTCTAGGAGGTTGTTACATGCACAATTTTATTGGATCAAACTACTGACCGCACCATCCCACGTTCCGATTCTGGCTCCATCTCTCTACTACTTAAAAAATCCGTAGTGGTGGTATTGATTCCTGACATAGCAGACGCGTCTGACAGACACGCGTAATCTCAACCATCCAATTGCCATATCCAACGGCGTCAATCGTCCATCTCCTATCCATCACGCGATCACTCCTCTCCCCATCACGCGCTCGCTCCTCTCTCGGATCGATCTCCTCCCCACGCCCACTCCTCCTTCCCCCACGCCGCGTCCTTCGCTCTCCTCCCTGTGTCGCCTCCTTGCCCCGCCGTCTCGTCGCCTCCTCACCAGCCATGCCCGCCGGCCTCCTCTCCAGACCTGCAATCGCCGCCGCCCTCTCCAATCTCCTCCGCGCCTCCACCTCGCATCGGATTGATCCTCCACCTTCGCCCTCCTCCCTGCGTCGCCTCCTCACCTCGCCGCCGCATCGCCTCCTCAGCAGCCACGGCCGCCGGCCTACTCTCCAGACGCTCCCTCGCTGCCGCCCTCGCAAATCTCCTCCGCGCGCTCTCATCCCTCCCCTAACCATCACCGGCCGCCTCCCCTTCCAACCTCCCCTAGCCATCCGCCCGTCGCCCCCTGCCCACCGAAGACGGATTTCAGGTAATGTGCCTCAAACCCTTTCAGGTAATGTGCCTAAAGCTTTACGAAGCCCGCCGGCCGCCGGTCTGATTATCTCGATGGGCGTACTGAAAATTCTGAATTAGTTGTCTTGGATGTGTAGTTAGCGTTAGTGAGGTGGAGGCTTTGTTCGAGCTGTTCAAGAGCATTAATGGTTCTGTGATCGACGATGGGCTTATCAATAAGGTGATCATCTAACTGTAGCTTGTTGTGGAATTACAAAATTAAACCTTGCCACATTCGAATGTATATCTCCACATAGAAAATTAAAGCTTGTGGTGGATGCCTTTTTCTGTGAATCGTTTTGCTATGCGGGCAATTCTATTCATTCATATTTGAAGTGAGCATGGATCTGTGTATTATGTGTTTGCCTTCTAAATTGTTTAACTTTCTGTGTACCAATATATGATTTTTTTTCCTCAAAGTTTAATAGGAAGATCTTGTTCCCGATATAAACCATCTGGCTGGACAGATACTATCACAATATAACAACACAATGATAGCTCAAAGTTTGAGTCACTTTCTTCCTGCAATGTTGTTCCTTTTATAAGGGAGTTAAACAGTTTAGAAGAATATGGGTCAGAATTATGTTATTATTGATCTGTTTCTGTTGTTTGCTATTGTACCACCTATGCATGATTAAGTACCATCCTATTCTGTTAATGTACAGTCAATTGTGTATTTTTTATGTAACAATTGAGTCCATGTACTTGTGAGAAAGATAATTTTCTGGTTGAAATTGATGGCTGAGTGTACATAACATGCCTCACTGCCAGTGGCTACTATTTCAGCGAAAAATAGAGCATTTTAAGAAAGAAAATGCAGATGCAACACTTTTGTAGTCTAGATTAGAGTAAAATCTACATGCATGCATGCACCTTTTGTAGTTATTTGCAAGTTAATGTGTCGGGGTTAGATTTTACCTGCGATTTGTGTAAATGAATGTCGGTTCATCACTTCATCTTTAAGAAACATATGCTGTCCCGGGGAAAGATGAAATGGAAATATTGTGGTCTACTGTTCAGTTTGGATAAAAATATGGTGGTCTACTGTTCAGTTTGGATAAAAATATGGTGGTCTACTGTTTAGTTTGAAAAAAAAATGTTCTTTTCATAATTTATTATTGAAACCTACTGATATTATAAAGGGGCAATTGCAAATTTACCCCTATTATAAATTGTACAAAAAGCTGATTCTGACATCTACCTTTTGAATTATTATTGGTCATTCTGAATATAGGAGTAGATCTTCTGAATTCCAAGAGGGATCTTTGTTCCTTTGATTTTTCTTTGTACTTGTACTTTGCAAGAGCTAACCTATGATCTATTACTGAGTTCGTACTGAATTCATATTTTCGTTTGTATCTTCAAAAAGTTCAGAGGTGTTTCTGTAGTACAGATTCTTCCTTTGTATCTATTGTGGGGTTCATACTGAATTTACATTTCCTGTTGTACACGCATGGCTTTTCAATTGTTCAAATCCTATTAAGAGTCCTGCAAAAAAAATATATCAGGAAGGTACAACCATGCATTTTTGGAACTAAGAGTTTGTCCCATGATTTGGTTTTTCTCTTTCTAGGTGCTTCCTCACTTCCAATCTTTCATGGAATGGCAGCCATATTGTAGATTAGTATTCTTGAGAAATGTCATAGGAAATGGATCATTTCACAAATCATAACAATTTATTCTTGGTAAGTATTAAGGCTGGCCCAATCATATCATTTTATTCTTGATTTCATGTTAACAAGCTGGCCCAATTAACCATTGATCAATATTTTTTTTGGAAGATAAACTTCATTTAATAATGCCATGAATTGGAGAAGGATGAGAAAACAAATTACTAGACAATATTCAGTGGTATTATTTGGGATGAAATGTTTTAGGCTAATATATTTTTATTTACATTCCCCTTTTCTACCCTCTAAGTAAATAACTGAAAATAGACGTCTTAGCTTCTTTTCGATTCTCAGAAATTTCGCTAATTTGAGCAAGTTCAGCAGATCGCCATGCATAACCCCGCAGATCAGAGATCTCATGTGTCCATATCCTGTTGTTTCCGGTCGACATCCTTGGTTCATCATTACCTCAATTGAAGGTAAAAGCAGTTTCTTCTCTCTTTTTTCCCTGTTTTCCTTGAGTGGTTGATATGAGAAGATAATATTTTTCCTGTTTTTTTTTTGCATGTGCTGGAATTTAGAATAAAAACAATTGCTCTCGTTCATCACAAATCTTTATCTATTAAGATATCATGGTTCAGAATTTATCGTGGTTTGGTTGTTAGAGGGGTTTCAGACTGTTACTCCGTTAGCCATTCTAACGGGATAGAAGCACTACAATGTTGTGTAGTTGCCTGGAGAACATGACCTAAAATTGATAAAATGATGACAAAATGAAGGACATTTCCTTTATCCAGACCATCATCCCTTTATCTGAATAACTCTGGTTTTTTTAATTTTTTTAATCCATTCTTGACATTTGGTATGGTTTGTGGAGTTGTTCAGATAACAGCTCAAATCTGGACTCTGCTCTTCTTTTTTTTAAAAAAAAAAATGTAATAAGTTTGAAGTTCTGATGTTATATCCCCAATCCATGCATGCTGTGTTGCTTTCATCACTAGGCATCCTAGCATCATGGATTGAGTAACTACAATTTTGGTTGCGGCAAGTATTTCTGAAATAACCTATTACCCTGAATAGGGTTTATCTGTACAATTTAGTTAGGTAGCAAAGATACAGAATGCAATCTACTACTACTAACTTGAAGGCCTGCACTTCTTAACCTCTACATTTTTGGATCTGCAAATCTTGCACTAATTTGCCTAAGGACACTCAAACAACATTATAATTTGCTGCACAACACCATGGACATTAAATTTGAATACTATTATAAGAATGGTATCTTGAATATTTTGTAGTATTGAAAACCACATTCTGAACATTAGTTCAAGTTCAGAAATCCGCATTCTTGCAATGTATCTTACCTATTTCAGTACATGCACCATGTGTTTTTTTCTTCATTTTCTGCAGTACAGTCTACTCATCTACTTTGCTGGTAGCTTTTGCATGTCATTATCCCCACATCATGATGTATGATTTTCAGTTTTAGGTGCCAGTTTTGGTGTGAAGAACTAAATTGAAACCGAACAATGATTTTCCACAGTTGCGGTTAACTTCTAAACAAGTTAGTTCTGCAATGGATAACAATGGTGGCGGTTCAGCACCAATATCGTCCAAAAGATCATGTCATTGTTTCATCCATCCAGCCATGGTAATATCCATTGCTCAATTGATATATTTTTGCTTCCTAATTTTACGTACACTCTTCCTTTAGGTCTTTTTGTGGATATAACTAATGTGATTAATGCCAAGTTGACAAATAAGCATGCCGCGGTTATCCAAAGTGAAATCAATGTTCCAAAAGACCGTGAGAACTATCAACAGATCAACAAGAACTCTACATCTAAGATTCAGAGAGCCTCAACTATTGGATTTGGTATCATACTTATATTGGCTTTCTTTTTTTTTTAATATATGAGATATTTGTTTTAGGCTAACATCAGCATTCTGATTTTGTGGTGCAGGCAATGAAAATAACGCTTCTGTCATTAGGCATGTGCGGCTACCATGTACAGACAAAGCCGAATTGTCGTACGGTACACCCAACATGCATGAAGATGTTACTAATCTCAGTACGGCTGAACTAAAAAGGAAGCGTGCTAGAGAGAGGTACGCATCATTGACAAAAGAGCTAAAGGAAGATGGAAACAAGAAGAGACGTGATTCCAGAAAGCGGAGGAAGGATGAATCAATAGGTTTTTATAAATTAACACATCTATTGTTATCAAAATTTGGACTTTTTGAACACAACACCTTATTATTATTGAATTAATTCAACTCTTTCAGATCATTGATCTCAAGATTCCACGACCAAAATGGCTACTCCTGTGTCCTCAACTGTTTCAGGTTGATGTGTAATATGGTAACATGTAGAAATTTGTTAGGTGTTTCGTACCAAATACGTTCTAATCTGTTTGGATATGAGCAGCCCCGCTTGGAGATATTACAAATGTACGTGCTGACAGATTGCTTCTGATAGTTTAACAAATTTTCACTCAATTTCTTTTCACTTAATAAAATTACCCGTTGCAATGCACGGGCACCTTACTAGTTTTCTACGAAAACAGAACTGAAAAACTAAGCTATATGACCGGTTCTGAAACAACCAAGTCGTTTTTTTGACTAACTCACTGGGGGGAGAGATTCCCCACCTGAATTGTCATTTCATAATAGGGAGAATATAGTTCTGTTACACTAGATTGAGAGATTGAAGACAGGAGGAGAAAATTTGTTTCCACACATCTATTACAGTTCTATCCTGCACCACTAGCAATTCTGCCCAAAGACCTGCTTCGCTAACAGCACGATAAAGGGAAGCAGCTAAAGAAGGTTGAAGCCCTCTGAAAACCACATCATGCCTGTGATTCCACAGCACCCAGAAGCAAAGTAGGTAGAATACATGGAAGTGTTTGGCCGGCAGAAGCTGCGATGGACTTAGCCGATAAAAAAGTCGAAGGTCTTGGATTGAGGGATGAATTCCAATACTTAGTCCAGAACCTTACAGCAAAAGGACAAGAGAAGCATAAATGGTTTGCCGTCTCGTCCGCACAGTTGCAAATCGCGCAAGTTGCTGACTGAACAATCTTTTTCTTCAATAGATTTGACTTTGTGGACAGTCTATTTCGGATCAGCATCCAAGCGAAAAGTTTTACCTTCAACGGTGCTTTGCATGCCCAGATAATCTTCCAATTTGGTGAGATAAACTCTGCCGGGAATTTTGCCTCATATATCTGCTTGGAAGTAAGAATGCCAGAACGATCATTTTGCCTGATGTCAGGTTCCTCATTCAGAAAGCAAGCTGCAAGCATATTCTCTAAATTATGAAGATCAGCTTGGGCTGCTTGCGATAGTCTTGGTACCAAAAACGATAAGATTCCCCTGCTAAGCACTTCTTTGACATTTGCATGACCGCTTGTTGAGTGCGAGTAGAGTGCCGGGAATAGGTTTGCAAGTTGCTGAATACCTAGCCAACGGTCATGCCAGAAAGAAGTCCTCGAGCCATCTGCCCATCTCCAACCTTTACTCTCGTCAGATTTTGAAGGGCAGGTAAGAGTTTTTGCATAGAGTTCCAGTGCTGGCCCAGAGGTAAGGTTTTCATCAAAGATTGCCCATCAAATTCTCTCCAGATCCAGTCTGCCCAAGATGATTCCGCAGAATCCAAAGCTAACAAACTGAATGAAAAACATGTGACAAATGCGCAAGATTACATCATTTTCCTCCTTTGCTATACGTGCATAGGAGGCCATCTGCCTACAAGACCAGCCGGCCGGTGTTCGAGCGGGCCAGAGTCCCGCCGCCACCACCGACGCAGCCACTCGGACTCGGCCAACGGCACGCCGTCCTCCGCCATCATCATCTCTACCGAACCCGCGAACGCGCCAGGGAGCCTCCTCCTCCTCGGGCTCCGTCTCGGTGGCTCGTCTCCTCTCTCCAACGAACCGGTAGCAGCAGCACAGCCAGCACTAGCGTGACGCCCGAACGCGGCGACAAGAATCAATCAAATCCTCCGCCACGATGACGCGGCGTCCAGTGTTTGCTCCATGGACGCTGGCCGCATGGCTTGGCCGCCATGGGCTGTTTGGGGGTAACATTTTTATACGGAGTATTTCTCAGCATATGTATATGCGTATCACGGCATTACATTGTTGTCTAGGAGTAGCAGTAAGTAAGCCACAGGCTAGCAATGCGCCAATGTATCAACAGATGTTTGTTAGGCTAATCCATGGAACACTTATCGAATCAGTATGCCTGTTGCATCACAAAATTATGTAAGCAGCAAAATGATTTCCCTAGCATCTGCGTGGCCGCCGCCGGTGGTGGTGGCGGCGGCGCACACACTTCGTTTGGTCGCCGGCGAGTCCCTGCGGCCGTCGTCGAAGCTCTTGGGGGGCTCGACGGGGAGCGACACGTACTGCAGTCGGGGGCTCTCGTCGAACGGGTTGCAGAGCATGATGCCACGGTGCAGGTCGACCCAGCACAGCCGCCGGTCGCCGACGGGGACGACCATGTCGGTTTCCCACGCTGACAGCTCAGCGCCCTAGCCGCCGCTGTCGTCGCGGTGGATGATCGGTGCCCGCTTGAGGCTCCACTCGCCGGAGCGGAGGAGGAGGAGTTTGGCCTCGTTCGGCGGCATGTCGTCGTCGCTCCCCTTGGTGATGAGCTCCGCCACCACGAGCTCGTCGTCGCCACGGCGCAGGATGCCGGTGGCACGTACATCCATGTCTGGATTTGGCTCGTCCTGCTCTGTCGCATCGACATAGTTGTGAGGCAGCAGCGTCAACGACGGCGGCCGCGCGGCGTCGCCGGCGTTGTAGACGAAGTAATCAAGTAATCGAGCGCGTCGTCGGCGTTATGCTCGTCGTAGTATTCCATCTTGATGAGCACGGAGTCGCCGTGGGCAGCGGCGACAAACATGGAGGCATCTAGATCTTTTTGCTCCAAGTCGAAGAACATCCGCGACGCCGCCGGTGGCGGCTCGAGGCAGAACGAGACGCGGACGCACGGGCCGCCGGAGAAGGTGCAGGCGCTCGCCGCCGTCTTGGGGTCGCCGGTGTAGCCGGCGGCGGAGTGCTTCCTCAAGCTCCTCACGTTGTGACCTTTGTGCTCAAGCATCACCCACCGCGGGTAACTGCCGCCGCCGGCGGTGGCCATCAACGTCGCCGGTGATTAGTTGCTTGCGCCTTGCGGTTGGCTCTAGTTATCGGAGTTATATAAAAGATCGTAACAGATGAATGTATGTCTGTGTTTTCTGTTAAGATTTAACAGGGTATAAATAACCGTCACGTTTATCGTTAGAGATCCTATCGTGTCATCAAAAACACTCTAGCCCGAATTTACTGTTAATTGTGTCGATTTTTTTTTTTTGTGTGGGTTGTGGAGGACTTTTATTTTCTTTTTTTTATCCAATCCCCAATGAATTTTATTATGAAAACTAACGATCCAAACACCTATTTAGAGCACAAATTTGCTACATATCTATCTTGTGATTTTTTAAAAACGATTTTTTCACCTTTGGCTTTTGCCGTACAGATTTGATTTTGGACCGATCAAATATGTTAGGTTAAATACATTGCCGTTGAGTGATTTATCATATATTAATCTATTTTTTGATTTTTTTTAACAAAAATCATAACCCATTTGAATGATATGCAAATAACGAGAGGATATTCCCTCGAGATTAGAATCCACTCTCCTCACTCATTCATATTGTTGCCGTCAGTTTCTCAAAAAAAAAAAAAATTGTTGCCGTCAGGCTATAAATGGCCAAAAGGCCCGAGGCCCGATGGCCCAACCCATGGCACGGCATTTTGGCCCGGCCCAAGCACGGCACGGCCCGACGGAGGTCGAGCCGTGCTAGCCCGGCCTGACCACCGAGCCGTGCCTGGGCCCCTCCACCGGCACGTTGGGCCGGCCCGGCACGATGGGCCGGCAGCTAGGCCCAATACACAAAAAATAGGGGAGTAAAAATAGACATATTATATTCCATGGATGAAAGAATAGGGATCTAAAATAGACTTTTTTTTATCTATACATATGTCAGCCGAAGAGGAGGGACGGAAATAGACTTATTTTAGCTATGCATATGTCAGACCAAAGAGGAGGGACGGAAAATAGACTTATTTTAGCTATAAATATGAAATAGCCCAAAGAGGAGGGAAGAAAATTAGACTTATTTTAAAAAAGGAACGATGGGCCACCCATGCCTTCAGGCCGGCATGGCACGTCGGGCCGTGCCTGGGCGGGAGGTGCATCCCATGGGCTGGCACGAAGTGCCTATCGGGCCGTGCCGGCCCGATGGCTTCTGGGCCGTGCCCAGCCGTGCCTGGGCAGGGCTGTGCCAGGCGGGCCCTTTGGCCATCTATACATCAGGCTATCCGCACCACATTGGTTTCACTGTAAAAAAAAATAGCGATTGAATGTAATTATAGTATTTCTGTTGGCGTCTTTTTGGCTAACAGTAGTAGTGAAGTTCCCACTCCGCGTCGGTCGGCCGCCATGAGGTTTTCCGAAGCTTTGACTACAAGGAACTTATCTATCTCCTTCTCAAACTTGATCGCCGTTTTTGGGAGAACAAAAGGACAAACTTTTTCCATTTTTTTCTCTCTGGGCCGGCTTCAAATGGCCTTTTCTTGGCATAGATAAACACTTTATGTCCTACTTCCCTACAAAATCTATTTCCTTATGCTCCCTTCTGCATTCCGTGAAACTCATCTAATGATTTGCGGTGTTAACGGAGTTACCAATCACCTCGATCCAAAATTAGTGTTTCGAAAATGTTTTCAAAAGTCTCCGAAACAAACCCATCAATCCTTTGAAGCCGACATACTCGCATGTAACCACCCATTGTAGTTTTCCCCCTCCCCTGGGAAGACAAAAGTAAAGTTGAAGGTTAGGGTTTCCTTCCTAATACTAAATCTTTGCTTGTGGATTAGGTCTAGTTGCGCTAAGTTTCGCTGCTACTTCTCTAATTATCGATTATAGAGCTTGCAGTCATGTTCCGAATATGTGACTTCCAAAAGATATAGTTTATTTATTGGAATGATGCATCTCAGTACTGCCGAAACTAGTGCTTGTGCCTATCGACATCGTGGTTCTGTGGGAGTCGGTTCACACCGATTTCCTGTGGCGCACCCTCTCCGGTGTCATTGTTAGGTGGTGCTAAGGCAGGGTGTGGCAATAAACCTGATGAGTGGATCAGCTTGTGTCTTTTTTCTTTTTTTTTTTGAAAAAAAAATTACCTGCTTGAGTTTGTAGCTGACACGGCAATATCCTTGAGATAACAAAACTACAAAAAAATATGTCTACTAGAAATTACCATACGTTACGTTTAACTCCAGGAGATATCTCTCGTGCTGGCAAAATACATTAGCTAGATGGTGGTATATGCCATTACAGAAAACAATAAAAATGCAGTGTAATATATTCCTTCGTACTAAAATATATGGCACCTATATTTTAAATAAAAATTAAATTCTAAACCTTTGATCGATGTACATGTTTAGTTTTTCAGAGAAAGAGGTAATTAAAGCCTCTCCGTTTCCATTAGAGAACAAAACTACAGAGTTCAAACGAAACATCAAAAGTTTTACGGCGCCAGGACGTTCCTCTCATCTAATTTATGCTAAAAATGATGCCATCCCCAGTTCCCACCACTAGCACAAATACAAGAGCAGGCACTTAACCACATTGCATCGATCTAAAGGAACAATAAAACAAAAGCAAATTTCATGAAATTTAAGGAGATGAAGACATGTAGTCCAGCAGCAATTTCATGCACACACTTTTGCCCCTTTTTCTTGCAAATTTAGATCAAGTACAGTCTTCATAAAACTCGAGAGAGATGTTTGCTCAGCACATCAGAGCCTTGGAGTTCAGCTTCAGCCCCCATCCATGTTGTGGGTTGGGTTGTGCATGCGGAGCAGATGGAACAAGCCTGGCTATTCTTCACTTCAATCAGCAGCCATTTCTTCCTGAGACCCATTGGCAGCACCAAGAGAGACCTGAATCGGCGTCCACTGCCATCGTTAATAAGAAGGCTATACGCCTCGAGCAAATCGTCACATCCCAAATCAGGTATCTCTTCAAGAGCAGCCAAGATCTCCTCAGGAGAAGCCATCTCTGACACATTGGTGGACAGTTCATGTGATTTCTTACTGATGACGGCAGTCGTCGTCGTCGTCGTCGCTGCAGCTGCAGGTAGTACGTCGACGACGATGGCTGCCGGCTTTGTTGAATCGCTGCTGCATGAAGTGAGGAGGTAACCGGAGATCTCGCTGGGAATGCACCGTAAACATGGCGAAGACTGATTTTTGTAGGCAAAGACTGATGGCAGCGTCTTGTTCGTCGTGTCAAGCATGATCTTCCAAAATTTCTCTTTCACGCAGTAATCGTGGTCGTAAACCAGGAAGCAGATGATGTGAGAGTCGCGTGTACTCACGACGGGGTAGTACGGTCTTTTGTGTGGTGGGATGCCGGCGTCGGCGTGGAGGGAGAGGGACCAGAGCTCGGTGGCGTCGACGATGGCGTCCATGGTCCATGTCATGTCGCTCGTCCTCAGTGTCCAGGTGTTGATGACGAAGGCGGAGCTGGAATGGTCGCAGGTGGTGACGCCGGGGCCTCCGCAGCAGCAGCGGGGGAAGATGTCGACGAACTTGAGCGTGTCGCCGCCGCCGCCGCCGCCGTTGGTGGCGCAGACGGTTCGATCTTTCATCAGGCAAAGCCGAGGGTTGCGGCCGCGGCCGCCGCCGCTCTCGTACTCGTAGTAGCGGTAGCCGTAGTCGTCGTCGTCGAATTCACCGGCGGGGGGCTCGACGGGAAGTGACACGTACCGCGGCCGGAGAGGCTCATCGTCGTCGAACATGTCGCAGAGGATGATGCCGCGATACAGGTCGACCCAGCACAGCCGCCGGTCGCCGACGGGGACGACCATGTCGGTCTTCCAATGGAATAGCTCGTCGGCCTTGCCGTCGTCGTGGATGATCTCCGCCGGCGTGACGCTCCACTCGCCGGAACGAAACACGAGGAGCTCGGCGTCCACTCCGTCGTCGCCCTCCGTCACGGTGAGCTTCGACACCACAAGGTCGTTGTCGCCGCAGCGGCGGCGGCGGCGGCGCAGGAGGCCGGTTCTAGCGTCGTCCAGCCGGTTCGGCGTCCTGTCACTCAACCCGTAGTGAACCCAGTGAATTGGGAGCAGCGACAACGATGGCGGGTCACCGGCGGCGGCATCGCCGGCGCTGTAGACGAAGTGATAGAGGCCGTACTCGCCGCCGCGGCGCGCTTCGTTTTTATAGTGCATCTGGAGGAGCACGGAGTCGCGGTGGGCGGCGACGACGCACACCAGGGGCCCTCCTCCTTCGTCGTGGCTCGGGGAGGAGGTGTACCACATGCGCGACGACGCCGGGGGCGCCTCGCGGCACAGGGAGAGGCGGACGACATGGCCGGCGGAGTTGCGGCAGCTCGCCTCGGTCTCGGCGCAGCTGCCGCCGGCGGCGGAGCAGGGGTTGGAGGAGTCGTCCCGGTCTCCCTGATCATCGCTACCTTTCTTGTGCTTGCGTCGGACGTCGCGCTCGAGTAAAGCCCACCGTGGGTCGTAGCAGCCGACGCGTCGGAGAGTCGCCGGCGTCGGTTGGGTTTCCATGGTCGGCGGCGATGGCGGCGGCGACTGGTGGAAGCTTAGGGTGACACAAAATCTGAGGCCATATATAATGGACAGTAATCTTCTTTAAATTGCAAATATAACCTCGTGTATGACTTGCAGATCATCAATGAAAAAAAACTACTAATTGCTGACTTAATTACGGATCGATATTATGGGGGGAAATAATCTGAATAATAGGGAGAAGGATCAGCTGGATCGTAAGCTGATCTTGCAGAAACAGAAATGCCCTCACAAATAGTGTAAACGAGCTAATCACGGATAGTCCGGCCGTCAATTAGTTTCTCTAGCTTGTCAGCAAAGATCAGCTAATCACGTTCACAGATGAGGCCCGGCTCAGACTCGGCTTTGCGGTTTACGAGTACAAGTTTTTTAAAAAAACGACACGACACCTATAAATTAGTTTGTTATAATGTTGGTTTATCTTAAAGAAAATACTACTCCATCCGTCCTAAAATATAAGTATTTTTGGATTCTAACACGATCTCCGAGATGCTATTTTGGTCAACGATATATAAAAGTAAGACGTTTTGAATAAAAAGAGTTGCATGTTATTATAGTTTGTGTAATGATAAATCTAGCTAGTAACATCAATTTTACATGGTTGATCTTTTTTTCTTTCTATTAATAGTCAAAGTTAAAACTGTTTGACTTGTCACTATGTTAAAAATGCTTATATTTTGGGACGGATGGAATATATGTTTTTATGGAGGACCAGCACATATTGATACTTATATATAAGGAAACTACTCTAAACTCTCGATGGGATATTCTCTCGTTGTTTACATCACTCAAATGGTTATGAGAAAAATTGAAAAAATATATTAATATGCGGTATATCACTCCATAAACATGCAAGTTCAAATTAATTTTTTACATATTGCAACAAAATGCAAATTAAACTACAGCTAGTCAAATTTGCTTTTTTTTCTTTGCGATATGTAAAAGTTAAATTTTAATTTGTATTTTTTTGGAGTGATATATCATATATTGATACATCTTCTTAATTTTTTTTCCTAAATATTTAAGTGACATGCAAATAACGAGGGGACATTCCCTCAAAAGTTTAAAATCCAGTCTCCTTATAGGTGCCCTTTTTTTACCTTTAGCCTTCTATGGATGTTTGGATGGATGGGAAAAGCTCCATATGGATTGTTTTTAAATTAATCGGGACATATGCGCCACATGTTATGGATTAGGGCATCCACAATGTGGTGTAAAAGTAGTACATAAGCAATATAATATTCCATTCAGCCACCTATTACCATTGTGCAACTAGTCCATATAGAAAAAATAGCAAAAGATACCCATATGCATATGGACTACCCATATGAAATAAATTATATTATCTATCTCCTCTCTCTTCTCCTAATGATACCTTGTATCTGTATACGTTATGGAGATTGCCATAAGGATAAACTATTTATGCGGGTCCCATCTATATGGATCACTTTACCATATACATTGGTGATGCCCTTAGAGATTTGCTCAAGTCAAAAAAAAAGTATCTCAAGGTGCCGGTACCTCATGGTACCAAATCGTTTATGATCATTGAAAAAAAAAACCTAAAGTACCCAAGCAATTGTACAATTAAGCACAATCCGACTGTTAAGCAGTAAGCACATGTATACTATCAATACCAAAGCAAGTTTACAACAAAGTATTTCATGCATTTTGCAAGTCTGTCATGCAACCACAGCAGACAGCGCAATCTTCGCACGTCTGAATTTCCATCAACAACCAAGTCTTCCTCAGGCTCATCGGAAGCCCCAAAAGAGATTTGAATCGGCGGCCATTATCATGACAAAGCATGCTATAAGCTCTTAGCAAATCATGACGAGACAACTCCGGTATCTCTTCCAGGGCAGCAAAGATCTCATCAGGAGAAGCTACTGATCCTGACACTCTGAAATGTTTAGCACCAGATGACTCACATGAAATTCGCACTGAATCACCGATGATGGCATCATGTGTTGGCGCCTTGTCGATGATCACAGCTGGCTCTGACATCGCTCCGCCATTGCTGCAGCTTCCATTGGAGGAAGTGAAGTAGCTGGAGACCTTGCTAGGAAGGAAATTGCGTCCATGGCTGCAGGAGATCGCTGACAAGAGTGTCTTGCTCCTTGTGTCGAAGAGGATCATCCATGTTTCTTTGATGCGGCAATATCTCCCCTCGGATTCTCGCTCATCCACCATGAAGCTGATGAGGTGGGGATCGTCTATGCTCACGATGGGGTGTTCTGGAATGGCGTGTGGGAGGCCGGCGTAGGCGTGGGATGACCAGAGCTCGCTGGCGTCGACCATGGCGTCCATGGTCCAGGCCATGTCGCCGCTGCCGTCGTCTACCCTGAGTATCCAGGTCTTGATGATGAAGGCACCGGTAGAATGGCCGCAGTAGGTCGGGCCGGGGCGGCCGCAGCAGCAGCGGGGGATGACGTCGATGAACTTCAGCGCGGCGCCGCCGCCGGTGACGCAGACGCTTCGCTCTGCGATGACGTATTTCCGCGTGTGGTCGTCGTAGTCGTCGTCGTCGTCGTTGGATTCATCGGTGAGGGCCTCGGGGGGAAGTGGCACGAACCGCAGCTGCGGATTCTGGTCGAACACGTCGTCGACGTCGCAGAGGATGATGCCGCGGTACAGGTCGGCCCAGCACATCCGCCGCTCGCCGACGGGGACGGCCATGTCGGTGATCCACGACGGCAGCTTCTCGGCTCTACCGTCGAAGTGGACGACCGGCGCCCGTGTGACGGTCCACTCGCCGGAGCGGAGAACGAGGAGCTCGGCCTCCTCCAGCTCGTCGCCCTCCTCCATCACGGCGAGATCCACCACCACCATGTCGTCTTCGCCGCGGCGCAGGAGGCCGGTGGTCCTTTCATCCAGATCGTGGCGCGGCCGCCAGGTTTCACTCTCTTCTTCATCCGCGTCGGTGGTGACGTAGGCAGGGAGCAGCGACAGCGACGGCGGCCGTGGCGGGTCTGCGGCGGCGGAGCCGGCGTTGTAGACGAAGTAGTCGAGCACGCCGTCGTCGCCGTACCGGTATCCTTCTCCTTGGTAACTCAACCGGACGAGCACGGAGTCGCCATGGGCAGCCACGACGGCCAGGCTGGCGCCCCGCCCCCCGCCGATGCGCGGGAAGAAGTCGAAGCATACGCGCGACGACGCCGGTGGCGCGTCGAGGCAGAGGGAGACGAGGACGTGGTGGCCGCCGGAGGAGAAGACGGAGGCCGCCTCGGTCTTGGCGTCCGGTGTGGAGAAGGGCGGGAAGGAGTCGTCGCGCTCGTAGCCCTGGTACTCGCCGTAGCGGCAGAGTATCACCCACCGTGGGTAGCCGCCGGCGCCGGCGCCGCCGTTGCCGCCTTGGTCCGCCGTCCGTTGGGTTTCCATGGGCCGCCGGTGAGAGGCCGGAACAAACGATTTGATCTGTCTCGTAACGTAAGCGGAGAGATCGGTTCCTCGGTTTACGAAAAAAAAGAAGAAGGTGTTTGACTATATAGAAGAGTTTGATTATGAAACAAACTAATGAATCGTATAATAGGAATCCGCCTCGTTGTACGTACTCCTACATGTCTTTCATAAGAGCAATTTAAATTTTCTTTTTATTTAGGATTAAATAATTTGAATTCTTTCCCCTTGCCTTAATTGACCTGTTCTCCGGTGGCCGACGGTAGAGCACTCTAAGAGGGGAAATTGAAATTTTTTTTAGCAAGATAGATTTATATGGAACATATCATTAGTAAGTTATTCTACCAATATAAGACACGACCCGAAAAGAAAAGAGAAGCAAAGTAAATATATTCTAAGGACGAGCATAATAATTTGGTCGTGACTTTGGGCTGACACAACATGGTCTAAGTCTTATTGGGCCATAAGTGAAGCCCGTGAGCGGGCATGGCTGCCAACCGCAGCCTTGGTCGTGCTTAGGCTGGGTCATGCCCAGGCGGCCTATTTAGTCCTCTATAACCTCAACAGACCAGCCAAGCCACCCTCTTCCCTTGTTATCCTCTCTTTTTCTCTCTGACAGTTCATCCAAAACGTCACATTCCTTCTATGGATTTACGCTAATCTAATATAAAAGGCACCATTTAATAAATGAATCATTAAATAGCACCAATTAAAAATGGGACAAGTGCATGCATGCCCTTACTTCGAACCCCAAATGTTGTTTTATCCTACTTTTTAGGGTTTACAATTTTGCCCCATCTTTTTGAAAACGAACCCACCGTTTGCCCTCACTTTTAAGGCCGTTAGTTGGGTCCCACAGTTTTGGGTTAAAAAATACAAATACAAATAGAAAATTTTCTTTTCTATTTGTATTTAGAACTACGGGCATATATTTAGAACTGTTTTTCTCTCTTATTCAACCAAAAATAAATATTTTAATGGGTACGATATCCATGTGCCCATGTACATGCTTATTTGAAAATAATTTAATTTGCATAAAAAACAAATTCTCAAAAATTTGGTTAAATTTGGAAATTTCGGTTGACATAATTGCTTGCTGGGGGGCGAAATTTCGAACCGAAATTGACAACCCTTGAATTTAGACACGAGGCTATGTCCAAATTTACGTCTAAAAGTAAATTTATTTTGGGATGGGGATAGTAGTAGACTATTAGAGTACTAGAGTCCTCTTCTTAACAAGCAGCAATAGTACAATAATTCAGAACAATCAAACAGCTGGAAACACTAGTATTTCATACATTTTGTAGCTCTGCTCTGCATGCACACCAAACAGAACGAGCTTCACTGGCCTTGATTTCCATCAACAGCCATGGCTTCCTCAGGGTCATTGGGAGCCCTAAAAGAGATTTGAATCGACGGCCACCATTGTCAGAACAAAGCAAGCTATACGCTCTGAGCAAATCATCACGAGACAACTCCGGTATCTATTCCAGTGCAGCAAAGATCTCATCAGGGGAAGCCACTCCTGACACTCTGATCAGATGTTTGCCACCAGCAGATGACTCGGAAGAAGATCGCAC